ATTACAGAGGAACTCATTACAAATTATCTTGGTTTCTCAAATTTCCCGGTAAACACGAACAGTTAATTGGAGAGGGGAGGTGTGAAGGAAAACAAACAAACAAGGCCTCAAGACACCAAGAATAAATAAAAGTTGGGATAGACAGTAATTTTTTTCTCATTCTCTTCTGATACAGCTTTAAGTTTCTGTTCCGCACCTCAGTCTAAAGCCAATAGGAGAAAAGTATTTACACTTTAAGATTGTGATGATATTACAATACAGGCCGTTTCCCACAATACCAAAAGAGTTAGGACCCAAATACCTATGAATCTTTTGGTTAATCTGCCTTTGATATTGTAAATTCACCGCTGATCTAACCCTGTAGACACTTGAGCCTCTGAAATTTCAGGTAGGGACATCTCCAAACTGAATCCAACCCTTTCAGATTTACTGAAATTCTAAAATATACACCTGGCTCCTCCATAATTCCTAAATCTGTACCATACAGTGCCTAACTCTTATGTGTAATCTCAGCCTGCCTGACTGTGCACAAAAGAGGTCAGTAAAAGAAATTTATACCAGCTACTACCACTACATGTGTAACATTTCTAAAGAAACTCTAAGGGCCTTTTTTTCACAACCTGAGGCCACTGATAACACTTTCTGTGTTTACTATGATTACTTTTTCAATTTTACCTCTTTTTCCATGCTGCTTGTGCACATGACATGGATCCTCATTTGTATTTCTTCTTTCCTTCAAGCTCAGTTTGCCCATAACACCAGGGCTGCAGTAGGCGCATGAATACCTGTAGTTCAAAGCAGTAGAGGTTAATTCATTACAGGCCGGAGTTCTCTGACATAAGCTTTGTAACTAATGATCCACCCAAAATTATATTAGCACTGAGAAAAACACTTATTTGAGTAGCATTTCTACTCATTCTTTTTCTGCTCAATCTCCAGGAAACGGCCAGGAGTGCACAGGCCTGCAGGCTGTGTGAGGCCCCAATTTCTAAGGGGCTCCATGATGGCCTATGCCGCTTCCAGCATGGGTTCAACCCTGCTGAGTTTCCAGCGGATCATTTGAAACATTAGTCCTTAGTTTTTTTTATAAAATGTCTTTCTGAACCTTTGGCAAAACTGAAGTCCTCATTTTGCATTCAAAGCTAATATTTGAAAAATTGGAAAGCAGCAAGGAAGGCACTCCAGCAGCCTGCCATGGAAACCACACCAAGAGCAAAGCGGTGAGAATATTTTGGCCATCCCTTCCAGATAACCTTGTACATGAATACTACAGTTTCTTTCTGCCTGCTTTTTCCTCCCCTCTTCTACCGCATATGCTAAAAGTTCTTGTTTTCTTTTTTTTTTGTCCCTTCCAACATCCCTTTCGTGCGTGTACTGGGTGCAGGTGCCCAGGTGCTGGTGGGGGGCTGCAGGCGGCCTCTGTGAGGGGAGGCCGGGGTGCCCTGGGCCAGACAGAGCCCGTTC